TCACTGTTTGTAATAATAATGAATTAATTTTAATAATTTAATTTAATTTCAGAATTACAGCTGAATCACTACCTGAGAAATCATATATCGCACAAGTATTTCACTGCGCCTAGGCTACAAGATCTATAGGAACACGTTATAAGTCATGCCCCAGTATGTTTTCAGATGAGTGAATTGTATACATGTACCTCCATTAATTAAAACATCACTTGATATTCACTGATTGTAATATTAATGAATTAATTTTAATAATTTAATTTAATTTCAGAATTAGAGCTGAATCACTAATTGAGAATTCATACTTTAAAAGATTTCAACTGTGGCTAGACTGCCCCCCCCCCCACGGTTACAAGTTATAAGTCTTGCCCCAGTATGTTTTCAGGTGAGTGAACTGTGTATACCTTCATTAATTAAAGCATCACTTGATATTCACTGATTGTATAATTTTAATGAATTAATTTTAATGCTTTATTTTAATTTCAGAACTGAAGCTGATTCACTACCTGAGAAATCATATTTAAAAAATATTTCAAATGTGGCTAGACTGACCCCCCTATGTGAACTGTGTATACCTTCATTAATTAAAGCATCACTTGATATTCACTGATTTTATAATTGTAATGAATTAATTTTAATGCTTTATTTTAATTTCAGAACTGAAGCTGAATCACTACCTGAGAAATCATATTTAAAAATATTTCAACTGTGGCTAGACTGACCCACCTATGGGTACAAGTAATAAGTTCTGTTCTAGTATGTTTTCATGTGAGTGAACTGTATACCTTCATTAACTAAAACATCACTTGATATTCACTGCTCGTAATATTAATTAATTAATTTTAATAATTAAATTTAATCTCAGAATAAGAGCTGAATCACTGCCTGTGAAATCATATATCGCACAAGTATTTCACTGCGCCTAGGCTACGAGATCTATAGGAACAAGTTATAAGTCATGCCCCAGTATGTTTTCAGGTGAGTGAACTGTATACCTTTATTAATTAAAGCATCACCTAATATTCACTGCTTGTAATATTAGATCTGTTTAATTTTTTAAAACATTCCTCTCATTATTAAATAGCGCCCTCACTCAACAATATTTAGTCAGGTGCATCTATTGGCTAAGCTTGTTGTACTTCATCCACTTACCTGGGAGTAACCATTGGAATTCTTTCTGATATTGATAAACTTGTGATGACCAGCAGTCCTAAAATGGGTATTATATCGCGCATTTGTCACTGAGTTCATAGATCAATTCTTATCCTACTTTATAACACACTTATTCTCTCACACTTAATGTAATGTATTGAAATCTGGGGAAACACATATCCCACATCTCTTGAACCAGTTCTGCTCTTACAAAAAGTTGTGCGCCTTATCATTTTTATGTTTAATTCTTATAGATTACACTTTATTATGTAAATAGTAATTTTCCTTACCTTTACCAGTCCTTTATCAATTTCTACTTGGCAGTCTGGGCAATGAACTGAACTAGTCCATAAGGACGATTTAAATGGCCCACGTCATAATTATAACCATTGTATTTTTGTAAGTTCTGTAAATATAGTCATTCTGGTGAAATATATAAATAAATATATGATTAAAAATAAATAAATAAATAAATAAATATCTTCGTTATTTCATTGTTATGATTATACACGAGGAATATGATATGAAGTGATTTAATTGTATGAATTATTGTGTTGGTATATTTATAGATAAAAATCATATAGAATTATAGAGTAATATTATATTTATAGAATTGTGATAGTTGAATGAACAGCATTCGGCCTACTAAATATATCCAAATGTACAGTTTAAATTAGCCACATATTTTATTTTTCATATGTTTATCTGCTATATTTGACAGATATATTTTTGCTGAACATTTGATTGAAAAATTGATACTATTTTTCTTAAAACAAACATTTTCACCTAACTTTGTCATTTCAATGGGCAATCATATAAATGAGTTGTTATTGTATAGAAGTACTACACTAGTACTAGTTGCCATGCCAATATGTAAAATACTACCAGCAACGGTTCATAGAGTCTGTCAATCACGCCACTGTGTTTGAAACCATCGAATAATTACATGCACAGGTATACGTTCTTCACTGCTATTCATTGGAACAGGTCAGTGTTCGCAGATCTCATACGCAAGTGAGTAACGTGATGTTGGTGAACTACGTGTCCATATTTACAGATGTTGGTGAATTACTTGCCCACATTTACAAACACTCCGAACAAATGCACACTAATTTGTCTATCATTGACAATTTCAGCCATTACAGCAAACATGCGTCCTGTGATGATTTTTGCTTTATTATTCTTGCTGGTAATCAATATTAGGGGTACAGAGCTCCATTTAAGGGTAAGTAGACTTTTCCTATCATTCAGGCAATATACTATATAGTAAAGAAATTTAAAATAATATATAACTATAATGTAACATTTTACATGAGTACGATTTAATTCGATGTTTCAACATGAGAACCAGTTTGCATTGAATTATCGTTCGAAATCAAAAGCCGAAATCATGGTGTACTTAATAAAGGTAGCAACAGGGGGAATCTGGTCAAATTTTCATGTTTTTTTTAATAATCGTTATATCACTTCTTCTTAGTGTACTCTTCCAGTTCAATTAACAAGAGAAATAGTACTAATATTATTGTAGACGTAAATTGGAGAGAAATACGTTAAAGCAATCCGACAGACAAATTGTCACAGAGTGTGAACAGTTTAAACATGTCCAAGTCTGTACTCTTTTGGCAAATGTGCTGATCGCTGATCAGAGTTTTTGTTTAAATTGACAGGGCACATGTTTTTTTGTTTCGCAGGTAATATCTGGTCGCACAGAGAGCCGCGTCATTCTGTTCGCATGGCTTTCTTTTTCTATTTCTAGCCAGTAACAGATCCCAGCACGCATATCTTTAGTTACAGTATATTGCTTTTCGGATGATTTTTGACAACGTTCAATTTGTTGCACCAGGATTTCATTGCTGCGATGAATATTCGAACGCATAGCTAACGTGAATTATTCAAAATAGTTGTGTTGCACTGTCACAGGCGAACGATGTGGCAGCGCCTACAGAACTGATGTGTCTCAGGTCTCAAAAATAATTATCAGTCGTTACTCTGTGACACTGACAGTAACTTCAACAATGCAATAGATCCGACAGAGATGCTTTGAACGTCGCAATCACGTCATTATGTTAATGTTGTGACTGCGTAGAAAATGTATTTATCTTGAACGTGTTAGTCAGCATAGTTGTAACTGCAGTCAAAACGAAAATGTCTAAAGTTTTGTTATACTAATGGCATTGATAATTTAAACCTAAACCTTTTCGATTTGTTATTTTGTCCAGTAAATCTCCAGTCGCATGACCACAAAGTAAACAATCTTTGCAAATCATGAATTATCAAATTGCCGAATATTTTTGAAAATAGTTAAATGCAATAAATATGCTTTGATTTGAATTGCTCAGATCATTCTAACTAAACGATCGGCTTCCCCTTTTGCGACCTTAAATGATTGACAATCCGGAAATATTTCCATGTGGCAATATTATTTTTAGTCGAAGAAGAACTATTACACATCATTTTGTTTTATTCCCATCAGGGTTCTAAAGGTGATGCTTCCATACAAGGTTTGATACATTTTTTATAGTGATCCTAATTTTCTTTCAGACGTGAACGAGTTGTAAGCTTTCATTTAAATACCGTAGATTCGAATGTAATTCTTAATGTTTACAGAATAAATATTGTTAGCGTCTTTGTATCGATACATGGGTAACAGTTTTGTCCACTTTTGTTCAATAGAGAGACAATGGAAAAAGGGCGACGGAGGTTTGGCTTCATCACCAGATAAACGTTTTGTAAGTCAATAATGATGATCTACAAAAATATATCATACGTACGGTCTACTTCATAATTTCTGTTGTACATATTCTTCAGAAATGTATTTATGTAATCACACTCGGATTTCCTTCGAGTAATGCATCTATCTAAATTGAATAATCCGATTGTATGTTTCTTTCCATGCATGGCGTGGCATAGAAAGGAGGATTGAACGATCCAGGTAAATAGCTGATATTACCGATTTCTTGTTGACATTTTGGTTGAATACTTTGATGTAAGCTGGTGTTATGGACAGTGATGTGATATGTTTTTTAATGAATTTCAGTTAATATAAACTACACACAACTATCAAAGCATATTTCTTCATTTTTTTTTCTAGAATAACTGTTTGGCCTTGCTTAATTTTCGATATCAATTTAGATAAATGAGTTTTGACTCACACCTTACCTATATTACCTACAGATATTCTACATTTCAGATGCAGGATTTACGCATATTGCAACGTATTGTACAATTAGAAACAGTGAATAATGAAAAATAAAAACGAAAAACAGAGCAATTCACGACCACAGTAGTTTGCTGTAACGAATATTAACTTACGTAACTTATATACCACAAGTTTATATAATTTATTATTTTTGTCATCGTTACTTGTCCCCTCCCACATAAATTGTTTCGATTATGACTAGTCTGATAAATGAATTAGTTAGTATATACGTGAATTGACGATGAGTCAAATAAATTTTAATTTCATGAGGTTATTATTGTCAGGTGGATCAAAGATACGAGGGTGATATAATACCAAATGGGGGAAAATAACCTCACTCAATAATACATGCTGTTTAATACTGTGAATTCTAATGGGGCCTTTTATGTGTACAACATGTCAATGTGTATTTGTTCTCATGGATACATGGTTAACAATTCTTTCAATTTGTGTATCTAGAAAAAAGATATTATGGAGGTGGAAAAAAATAATGAAAAGAATGGACCACTATATCACCAGCTCAAAGTACCCATGAATAAGGGAAGATAATATAGTGTGTTACGTGTTTCGTAATATGTATTAGTATTTAGATGAACTAAATAAATACCATGAACATAGTAAATGTGTATTTGCTTATGAAATTAACCAAATTTTCAGCAAAGGTACGTTTGCGCATATTAGTCAGCGTATATGCCAGTCAAAAAATTACCCTTCGTAATGACTGATGTCAAAAATAAAGGAGAAAAACCCACCATTTAAAAAAAATCTAAATTAACCATAAAGTTAAGACAACTGTGTTGGAATGTCAAGTATTATTAAAATTCTTGTAACAACATACCATCAATGCTAATCAAATATAGTAAAGGTACAGCACATTACTGAGAAGACCAGTGTTAATGCTTTTTCAAATTCAGAAACACAATTGTTGAATGATAGATTGACCATTGAATTGAGTAGAAAGCAAGAACTATCAGTTATCATCCATCTTCTTGTTTTCATGAGAATCATCGGATCTAATATAAAGATACACCATATGATGTATTTTGTTGACAACCGATTTTTCAAGTGCTAAATCAAGAGGATAAACAGCCAATGTCAAGAGAGTAACCAAGGTATTAAAATGAATTAAGTAATGACAAACCAAATTTTGCATATGTTTGCCTCTAACGCATGATTGTTGCTTCATTTAGTATATTTGCTTGGACTCGGCAGTACTCACAACCTAATATTGCATGTAAGAACGTAAATCTTCTGTTGAGATTTCACGTTTTTAATCTAAAGGGATGTTGACTATTAATTTTAAAGACTACCTCTCCGCGTACAATACCAACTTTTTGTATCATTTCCTCACTTGACGAAAGTTATCAAGCTACAAAGGGGCTACATTACTCATTTCGCCTGTTTTTAACGATTTTTCTGACCGCATGATCTTTTTCGATCGGAAAGCGACAATATTTTATAGCTTTTTTTTGCTCGCTTATTGAAAACACCGATCACTCTTCCATACCCGGATCATTGGCAAATGAGTGGTCAAAATGGTGGTTTCAATGGAAAAGTATTATTATATTCTGAACGACACTTTAAAGACCGAACGATGTGGAATAGGGGAGATTGTCAATACCAGTCGACCTGTGCCCATTGGGTAAACAATGTGACTGTTGTAACTGTTTGGAGTAATGATCGCAAATGTATAAAGAACGCCTGGCAAGTCAAATGATGCAGTCGGACGGTAGATGATGGTGCGCGAAACAGAGGGATGTCAAAAGGAGATGATAACATGCCTACCTTACGATTGAAAGCTGTGACTGGGCAGCGGACAGAGCCAGGGAAAGCCAGTATTTGAATATGTAGCACATGGTTCCAAATTGTATGGTGTTGTACCAAGTGATACCAATGATCAAACTCATTTTGTCATAGCCATACATGTAGTATTTCTCTTTTCATATATATTTGAGCAGATAGTAGTCTGATGGGTCTACACAAAATAAACGGTATGCCCTACTGAGCTCGTGTAAGATAGACATCCAGAGCCGACTGTATAGATGCGATCAAATATTATGTCATTAATATAATATCTACTAATGTAAACATTGTAATCATTCCCAATGACCCTATCATATGTGGTGCAATCGTTGACTAAGTAGCCTTCCGGGAAACTTAAGTCCACGACCGCAGGTGATAGTGCGTCCTTCTCAGGCACAGTCACTAATGGCAAATTAATGGGCGCATGAGACAATGCCGGAGGGTCAAAAGGTCCAATAGAAGTGCCAGGCAATAGCTTTATTTTTAAGGGAGTCTCAACATGATCTGTAAAATATAATGCCAATGTGAGTTTCGTTGGGTGCCTGCGTAGTTGATGGGCCAAACAAATTCAGGTCCCAAAAGTCGTCGTCATAATCACGCAGATAATGGCCGCCAAGACTGTAAATTAGTGGCAGTGAGCTCCAAACTCTGTGGCTTGCAATTGTAATCAAATTACAATTTGCAATTTCAATCAAAAAACGATTGAATCGTAAATTCGATTACGTGGTTGGTTGTTCAAGTTTATTATGGAGAGATGAAGAAATCAGGAAATGTCGCCTGACGTAACCGTTTCATTGGGAAAAGCAAGAAAATACCCTATAAGGCTTATGACTCCTCGTAGGCGTTACTTAAGAACAATTGCCATTCCTACTGGTCGAATTGAACAGTGGATTCGCCAGTCTGTTGGAACACGCGCAGTGCTTAGCATCAATTAAGTTTGGCATTGATATTTCCGGTATGTTGTATATACTTTATTTAAATATAAATCAAATTCACAATTAATTCTACTGTTTAACTCACAGACTGTTGAACACATCAATACTGACTTATTACTAAATAATTTTATAACTTTGTGAACGTTGTATTAGACGCACCATGGGCGTAAACAGCAGACTATAGTTTTCATTGGATATATTTTGCACCCCTACTCAATATACCATGACTAAGTCGGAATTCTTAAGTTGTTTCTTCCTTCATGTTATCGAAATGTACTATCTGCGTTATACCACCTTTACCTTTCTGTATTTTTTAAAGAATATCTGACAGTTTTTCGACAATTATGAAGGGGCCTTGTCATCTTTGTTGCAAATTTGGGGAGCGCCCTTTCTTTTCGTGGCATCGAACATCACATAAAGCCGCCTCCTTGCCACTGCTTCCCAGCAAATCTCTGGTCACACTAACATTTCTGGAGTTTTGCAATATCATGCAATTTAACTTTTTCTTGTATCCTCTGCTTTTCCATATAATCTGGCATTATCTCGACATGTCCATAGGGAGTGTTATCTCCAATCCCAAGCATCACCAAGTTTGATGTAAATGAGGTAGATTCCAGTACCTTATTCCTATAGGACAATGTCAGCATGGGAATATAGAAATCCCAATCAGACTGATCAACCCTAATGTATTTGGCAATTGTATCCATCAACCTTTTGTTATAATGCTAAATATAACCATCTAATCGATTGCCGGCTGTTGTTCATGTCTTTTCATAACTAATATATATGCTAACACCACATAGTTAACGCATTTCTGCAAATAACCTAGATTCTATATTTCGTCATTGATTAGAGTGTATTCTCTAAGAACACTAACGCATGAAATAAACTGTGTTACCAATGTATGTAACACAGTGTATGGAGACTTGATTTGGGAGCTCAAACGTCTCTATCAATTTAGTAAGAATAAGTGAACTTTATAACCATAATGCCCACATAGTCAGCATTCCCGTGGATACCTTATATTCGTTTTGCCATTCTGGACACTTAAAAATTAACAACCAACTTAGAGCTGTATGATCAGTCAAGATGACTAATTTCCTACCGTACAAGTACTGCCTGTAGTATCTCATGAAATTCACCAATCTCAGTAATTTTTTCCCTGTGACGCAATAGTTTTTTTCCGCGTTACTAAGCGACCTACTGCCATACGCTATCACATTTTCATTTTCATCCTGAACCTGTGATAAGACAGCACCGATACCTGTATCACTTGCATCTGTACTCAGCATATATTCCCCTGTTGTTGTAGATACGCTAGTACCAGGGCGGACATCAGACGCTCTTTTAACACTTCTTGGAAAACAATCTCACACTCTGTATCCTAGTCAAAAACTCTTTTTATCTCCGATAATCTATGCAAAGGTACCGCTATTTGGCAAATCCCTCGAAGTACCAGTGGTAGTAGGACCCTCTTCCCTCACATTCTGTGGTATTGGATCTGTCGCTACTCAATCGTTTGACACCATATGACCCAAATACATTACACTGGTTCTAAACAGGTTACATGTTTTTGGCCGCAGTTTGATCAATACTATTTCCAACTGCCCTAACTCCTTATCTACATCTGTATCGTACACAATAATATTACCTAAATATTTCCCACTGCACTTCTGTCATTAAACAATCAGTTTTCAACTCAAACATTGAGAGCGTACATAAAATAAAAACATATTGTAGAGCCAGGCAATCACGTCATTGTGTTTGAAACTATCGAATATTAAACTGCAACTACATATGTTATTCGCTACTGTTCATTGACATTGATCACGGGTTTGACACATCCCATACCTATTCCACCGGGTAAATCGCACCAAATTAGAACTTTACTGGTATGAATTGGGACAACTATTGTAGCATTGAGTGCATCTCGTAAATTACTGCCATAAGTACTGCAGTATTTTCGGGCAATTGGTTGAGTTTATAAACTCTAATTTACTGTCCGTCATGACAATGTAACATTTGTCATGTCATTGTTTTCTGTTGTCAGAATATATTAAATTCATTCTCGTCACTGGTAGCATCAGACTCATGATAGGTAGACCCATCAAAAGGGTCGACCCTACCCTGGGTGAGTGTGCCACATACTCAATGGGAAGGCCAATTCCACTGGCAGAGATTCATTCACTAACGAATGCGACTTTGGGGGTACCATGGTTAAGGTCTGCAGGTGCGTGTGTTCGACCAAGCCCGGTTGACATCAGGGTAGCGCATTAACATTGCCATTTGATAGGAAGATGGCCACACAGCCCTGTCATGTAGTCCCAAACAGGAAACCACTTCTCTGACAAAATGTGTCAGCACTAGCACTTGCAATTTGCATTTACGAAAATGAAAAAAAAGGCAGGAGAGACAACAGCGACATTCAATGGCCGGAACTGTCGCCTGGCACAAAAACATTTAAAAAAAATTCAATCTCGTGACAATTTCTGAGTTGTATTTGACATTTTAATAGTTACATATAGTAACGCACACCCATAAGCCAAAACACAGTTAACCCACAAAGGAGAGGTTTGGTTTTCTGTTGGGAGCATGACAATTTTAACTTTCTCAAGGAATCACAAAAATTATGTTTAACTCAAATATCAAATAAATCGGGTTTGTG